TAATAAGGACATAATTCAAAAAACACTTGAATCAAGTGGCCTAAATTGCAAAAAATCTTTATAGGTAGTTTTTTTTTGACCTTATATTTTTAAAAAAACTTTTTTAATAGAGGGATATTTGAATTATGTTCTTACCTTTAATTTAGGGACTCATCTTTATTTGCAGTTGAACTAACCATTTAATCTTCACCTTTCCTAAAGCTATCCAAGAATATTTAAAATATTTATAACTATAGATTTACAATTTACAGTAGTCTTATGTACTTGGAAATACTAGATGCCTTTTTGGGATAAGTAACTATTGAAGTGATTTATTATTGGATTAGAATAAGATCTTCTGAAAACTTGTAAGAAGAGACATCAGATACTAAGAGAAATTGATTATTAAACTATCTAACTAAAAGCAGATATTTCATACATCTTACAACTTCTGACAATCATTGTAATATTAACTGAATGATTGTTATATTACTATATCTTTTTTGGAAATTACAATCTTAACACCTACTAGATTAGCATATGAAATAGCTTCTTATAAAAAACAGTGCTTTTATAGGTTATGATGTCAAATACCATGTTAATTCTATTCAACCATTTTCATATGGATTGAACTAATATCTTGTGATTTGACCTGTGAAATATTAACCACTATATTATAAACCCATGGATCTAATATATTATTTAATTAAAACTTAATATTTCTAAAATACAAATTGTTTAAAAAAAATGTAAAATGAAAACGAGGATTCTATTTAATTTTATTATTTTGGAAACAATTTTATGTCATAGTAATTGTTAATAATAAATAAATAATTTTAATGTGAGAAAATAATTTTTTTATTTCGTTACCAAAAAAACATGTTTACATATCGCAAGATTTCTATTCAAATCTTTCCAACAATATCTTCGAAAATCTCTCTACATCTGACCTTCGCTCCCAATTTGGCACATAGCAGAAATGAACCAGACAATTTCCTATGTAAACTGTATGTTTCGTCTGGCGGCGGCGTTAATCTGTACTTCAGCATAGTCGGTATTAAATTTCTTATTCTGTTGGTGATCGTTTGTTTCGAAAAATCATAGGTTGCAACTGAAAACGGCTCTCCCAATGTTACTATCGAATCTACATGAGCATTCTTCATTGTCTATGATGAACAAAAGCATGAAACGGAATTAATTAAAACTCAAGGTTCATGTACATCATAATCGTTCCTTGAATTTACGGGACAAATTGACGTTCTCAAATTAAATATTAGAATACACATCAGTAGTAAATTACTGTTTGCCAATCTTACCTCGGTTTCAATTCCCGTCAAGAAACCAATCTTCTGGGAATAATATTCACATCCTTCTCTATCCTGATTTGCCGCTGATTTCAATATTTCCAAGTAACATTCCGTGAAATGATCATCAAAACTTCTGCTCGCCCCAAAATCTACTAATTCAATCTGAAAAAATATAATCGAGTAAATTATCTCTATAGACATGGATTGCGTATCTATTAAAACTTTATAAGTCAAACCTTTTGAGTATTAGCGTTGTAAAGGAAGTTTGTCCAATTGGGATCAGTTTGCATAAACTTGAACTCGAATAGTTCTCGTAAACAAAGCCGCAGGATATTTTCTCCTATCTGAAAGTGAAATCAATTTAATTCCAAAAGTTCTTCGTAAAATCAATAACCCCAAAGAATCTTACCCAGTCTTTCAGCTCCTGTTTATAGTTAACCGCATAAGCTAATGACTCACCCATCATTCTTTCGCTCGTCAGCACCATCTTTGTGGAATATTCTTTAACTACTTGAGGCACCGAAAAATTCTTATCATCCTTCAATAAATCTCGAAATCTTTCCATGCACTCAGCCTCCCTAACATAATCTGTCTCCCATGCTAACTCTCGCCTGGCCACTTTTATAGTATTATCAAGATAAAGGCCTTTAGGTAGTAAATTACTGGCTCTTACTAACATTCGCAGGTTATTAAGATCAGAGTCTATGGATTCAACAACACCGGGATATTGAATTTTGATGGCTACAGGTATTCCTGATGAAGCGAGTTGTGCACTGTGCACTTGACCTATTGATGCGGCGGCCATTGGCGTGGGGTCAAAATTTAGGAAATTAATTTTCCAATTTGGACCAAGTTCCTTCGTCAGAACGTTCTTGTATACCATTATTTAATAAGATATTAAGGAATCAACCAGAATATTAACAAGAAATAATGATTGGGTACCTCCATCTGCCAATTTGGCATATAATTCGCACTATTCTGAACCCTTAACATAAGTTTCCCTATTTGGGTTGGCAGCATGTCGTGATCTGTCGAACGAAAGTCATCAACCATACAAATAATTTAAGAATTCCGAACACAAGATTTAGTAAAGGCAAAGAATAAATGTTACCTTGGATGCTTATCATCTGTCCCAATTTCAAAGCTGCACCCCTCATCCTTGATAATTTACTAACCAATCGATCGATATTGGCTTCACTCATTAGTACGGAGCTTCCTGATGCAATGTGGGGTACATGAGGCCATCATATTAAACTTGAATGACGTTAGAGTTGAATAAACTTGTATTTTTTTTACTACTAACCTTTAGCATCTGATACACCGGTTGCTCTACGAACCGCCTCACCAACAGCCCCAGCACCCAATCCAACGACCAATCCTAGTTGCAATGATATTTGTGAACTTTAACAATAAAGATCTGCGAGAATACGTATGAAAGATATTTACCGCCATAATGAAATAATCGAGAAATTCTTGTGGTTGGAATTTTGGATTCTTTGAGGACATAAGATTTCTGTGTAATTATTGAATTTCATTTAACTTGAAATTATGTTTAAAGATTTTTCGAAACGAAAATCGAAATCGGTTCCTCGACCGTAGAACCTCAGGTGAAGCCATATGATCAGAAGTAACGTCTGGGCGAACATTGGCAACAGGATCTTTATTGAAAGATGGTTTATTAGGTGCCTCAGAGGTGGATTCAAAATCATGAACTCTTTCGTAATATTGTATGATATTTTCTTTTATGGTGTGTGTTGGTGCTTCCTGCCCGATTGTTGATTCCTTGGTGACTGATATCATTTTTTGAATCAGAAATTTTTTTATAAAGAATAACCCAATAATGACAAACAAGTACCTTTTGCATTCTCACTTAACCGTTGTGGATATTTGATCGACCAACGCCAATTTGACGTTCTTAACAAAACATCGGCATTTCTCGCTTGAAGTTTTATAAATGTTGAAAGTATTTTTGCACATGCAGTAGCAATACCATGTGTATCTGCTATTCGTTTTGATGTCATCTTTGAAAGATCATAACGTCAATATTTATACGATTTTCGACGCATTTAAAATTAAAAAAAAAAATGAGGATCAATCAAAAATGATCAACACTCGGTAATGATGGGTTCGTACAAACCAGTATACGCAGTATACATATAGTACAAAACAAGATTTTCTTTTACTTGTGAACACACAACCTTTTTTTATAAAAAAAAAAACGTCTACTAAAATTCAGTGTGCGGATCACAAAATTCGATAGTTATGTTGATATTATCATTAACACATTCTACGAAGAAATACAGTTTATGGGCATTATTTAAGTTCTAATTTAGATAGAATTTAGTGCAAGACGGATCTTTTAAGAGAGCATTCGTAAGGGAAAAGCATTCGCTCCTTTGAAAGTTCGCACTTCATAGTATGTAATTCAATTAACAATAAAATCTAGATAAATGTACTCAATATATACTGATAACTTTTGTCTTTTCGTCAACAGTTAAAGTCAAGAAAAAAAAAAAAACTTAATTCAGAGGATGTTCTGAGAAAAAGTCAAATATATCCAACATGATCTTTTATTTCCTTCAAAAAAAATACGAGTACATTTTCTCTCTGAGAAGTTGAGAGCAATTTACACGTGATTTTCGGAAATATGGAAATATTTAATTCCGAAATTGCCAAATATGTATACGGGGAGGAAGATCAGACAATAATTACGTATTAATAGGATCAAGTGATAGACTATTTTTCTTCTTGGTTTATATATATATAAATATGAATTCGGGGATCAATCTTACCACGAACGCTAAGGAACTCAAATCGAGTTATCAATCGGTTCTGGAAGGAAAAGAGGTTAATTGGGTAGTTTATGGTTACGAGAGAGGAAACGAATTAAAGGTTGTGTCGAAAGGAGGTAGGAAATAAGTAGTGGGAATTTTACTTTTGATAAACGATTGTTTCATTTACACATAGTTTATTTAAATAATTTAAAAGATGGAGGTCTTGAGGAGTTGAAAGATGAATTCGATGAAGGCAAGATCCAATATGCTTTTGCTAGGGTTATAGACCCCAATTCCGAATTACCAAAGCTTGTTCTTATCGGTTGGGTATGGATATCCCGTCATATATTCAATATTATTCAGGATGCCATGATCAACGTATTTATGCATCATATTAATATAATATTTTGACTTCATATAGTGCGGTGAAGGTGTTCCAAACTTCAAGAAAGGATTTTTCAATTCACATTTTAACGAAGTGACCAAGTTCCTGAAGGTTATCACCAGATGAACCCGTTTTATACTCATCGGTTAAATTCTTTTTATTTTGATTACATTTAAATTTACCACTTTGATCAAACAAATTAGGGCTACCACCTTCAAATTAATGCTAGATCTGAGGTAAATCGAGATTTAATCGGATCGCGTGGTTCCAAATCCAAAGATTGTCGATAAAACTTTTTATATTTGTAGGAAGATGTTGATCCTGATTATATAATGAAAAGGATAAATGAAAGTGGTGGCTCAAAGTATATGGCAAATATCAATAAGAATGCTCCCGTAAAAAAAGACGAACCCATTTTGCCAGTTGTATGTATTCTTGAAGTGATGATGAAGCAAAAAAACCTTTTCAAGGTATTCATTTGTAAATTTGTTCGGTAGCGCTCGGTTTATCAACCAGAGAAAATACCGGACATCGCCGCATTACAAAAGTCTGTTCGACAGGAACCTATTTTACCAGTAGTAAGCATTTCAAATAATTTATGCTGATAACGTATATTCATAAAAAAGACACTTAATTACCTTTTATAGCGTTCAACTTATCAACCAGAAAAAATACCGGACATCGTCTCACTACAAAAGACCGCTTCCAAAGAAAAAGAGGAAGAGGAAGAGGAGATAGTAGTACGTATTTTATCTGTACTTCAAAAACGTTCAAGCATACATATATAACATCTGACTTTTTGTCAAATATTTGTAGCGTTCGAGTTATCAGCCAGAAAAAATACCTGACATTGCCGCACTTCAAAAAACAGCACCGAAGGATGATATAAAACCTGTGGTAAGAAATTTGTTTGTTCAACATATTTACAATCATGGAGCTCAAAATTTTGTTGTGTTGAACCTCAAGAGTTCCGTATATAAGCCCGTTCAACTTCCGAAACCAAAAAGGCTGGGCACTCGTGCAACGTGGATCACGGAAGAGAACAATCCTCCCACCTCTGGTATAGATGTTCGCCGTGAGAGGGAAGAACGTGAGAAGAAAGAACATGAAAGAGAGGAACGTGAAAGAAAAGAACGTGAAAGGAAAGAACGTGAGAAGAAAGAACGTGAAAGAGCAGAACGCGAAAGAATTGAACAAGAAGATGATGAACGCAGAGAGCAAGAGAGACTTGAACAAGAGGAGTACGAACGCGAGGAAAGTGAAAGAGCGGAGCGCGAAGAACATGAAAGGGCACAACGATTGAGGCAACAGAAGGAAGCAGACAATCGTGCTAGGAAGCTCAGAGAAGAACAACTAAAAAGAGAGAGAGAGGAAAGGAAGAGAGAAGAGATGGAGCAAGAAGAGAGAGAACGAGAAGAAAGAGAAAGAGAAGAGGAACTACGACGAAGAGAAGAAGAAGAAGAACTGGAACGCCAACGAAAAGAAGTATATTTAATCGTCTATGTATAACATATCATATGTCCAACACTTATTCACTTCATGTACATTACCTTATGTTAAGGAAGAGGAAGCCTACCGCAGGCAAGAGGAAGAAAGTTTATTACAGGAAGCCCAGGTACTTTTCCTTACATACTACAATGAGAATTATATAAAAAAAGGATCATTAATTAAATTTACTTATTCAATCTTAGTCAAATGAACCTGAGCCTGCTGGAACCTATTTTGCTCGAGCTCTTTATGAATATGATGCAGGTATACAAAGTTAACCTGTTGAAATATTGGGCAAAGTTTACATTATTTATTCATCTTGCTTTTAAATTTCGCACAACTAGCCGAAGATAACGAAATGTCATTAGTGGAAGGAGAAATAATCAAAGACATTGTTCAGTTGGATGAAGGGTGGTGGCAAGGCACTAGTGAAGATGGAACACGAAGTGGCCTTTTCCCAGGTAAGTAATTATTTATCTTGAGGCCGGTTTATCAACATATAACTAATTATTTATGGCTGTATTATCAATAGCAAACTTTGTTGAACTCATTGAGGCTGAAATCCAAAATCCAGAAGAGGTAAAATTTATTCTCAAAAATTGTATATATATGGTTATTTAATGAACTTTTTTTTTTCTTTTAGGAAACTGAACTGGAACTGGAACCGGAACCTCAAGAAACCCATGAACAGTCAGCTTTGCCTTCAGCAAAAGCCGTGTATGATTACGAGGCTGGAGAGTCTAACGAAATTTCATTTGTAGAGGGTGATATTATTACTAATATTGATTTTGTGTCAGATGATTGGTGGCAAGGTACAGCGCAAGATGGATCCGTGGGATTGTTTCCAGGTGATGATGGTTTTCTTTTGATCATTTGTTTACTTTTATTTATTTGACAACTCATCATCTTCAACTTTTCATAATCTTAAAATAACAGCTAATTATGTGGAATTACTTGGCTAGACTACTATCTAAAGTTTGACGATTATAAATTTCATTTGAATGCATATTGGACATATTTAATTGTAATTAAAAAAGTTGATTATAAAGATTCGTTTTCTTTAAAATTTATATAACAAACATGAATTAAGGATAAAGTTAACAACAAAGTGTACAGCATGAGATTGCTAATCATATTTTTCATTCCACCGAATACTGTCGTAATATAATACTCTATCTTACACTCTCCAGAGTAGAAATTAGGGTATCGTAATCACTAATGTATGTAATTTGAAATTGAATGATAATATCGGTACATCACATCATCAACTGCAGCAAAAGATACATCAGTCTCAGCCAAGGTAATCATGAGAAAAGCCATCGTGTTCGACGTCAATATAGAGTATATGTGAATCAAAAGAATGCAGTAGAGTTTGGATTGGATCTATAAATTTGTAGTAGTGCATCAACGAGAAAGAATGTTAATGTAGACAAAGTTGATGAAAATACCTGTCAATATTTATCGCATTGATAATGACTCTGAGATTAACGTGTAGCAACTTGTTATGATACGCGAACATGTTAATTTGGCTATTATCAAATTTTTTTCTCCTAGTAGATAAATTTGTACTTAAATAAAGTAATAATAGATTTTTGTCGACGCGAAAAATGTTGAAGTTTATTTGGGATCACGAATATCTGGCACAACACTAAAGAAACATCGAAAATTTATATTATATTACAGTATTAGTGTTTATTTATTTTTAAAAAATCCAAGTATAAAAATAAAAATATTTTTTTTATACATTTTATCTTTCGATTTCACCAAAGTCTTTATATTAACCGTTGTAACTAGTTATTCTTTTAAAAATTTTTTTAGTATATTATATTTTAATCCGTTAATTGATTCTATACAATTATTTTCAAGATTGGTTTGGTTTGTTTTGTTTTTATAACATTGTTTTGTTTTTTCTTTTTTATCTTTTATCATTTTTTCCAAATATTTAAAAAATAATCTATTTTATCTCGTACACATACCATTTCTTGTTATATTTCTTATCATGTTATTTACTTTATTTTTTTCTATTACATTGTTTAAATCAAAAATAGTTATAGGTTTTTGAAACTCTTTTTATTTTTCTTAAGCTCTTCTTTTATTTTCTCAATTATATATACTTTTTTGACACATATCCTATATATGTCCTATCTTATATAACAATAAATCTGATAACACTATTGGATACAGTAAAAAAGTAAAATAACAATACATTTCTCTTGCTAAGAAATATTATAATACTCCTTTCTTTTTTTTTTTGCACTGGTTTCTTTTCTTTTTAAGATTAAAAAAATTATATTTCCATTTAGCAAAAAGATTTTTCTATTAATAATTATTTCAAAAATATATTTAGGCAATAATTTTACTTGGATATAAGACTTGTTACTATGGCTTTGAAAATTAGAATCAAACAGATTCAAATAAAAACTTGCATAAAATTAAGGATTCTAATAATTCTCTTCAATTCTGTATTCGATTCTCAAGCTTATATTAAATTTAATAGGTGGGATATACCCTACCATTATTTTTGAACCTCATGCAATTCCTTGTGATTTTGTTCGATTTTAATTTTCAGAACTATACATGAAATTCAGAACATTATTAAAAATGACAGTAAGTTATAATTCACATATTAAATTTAATATAAACCTAAAAATCAAAAATTGAATTGAATCAAATCTTTGGAATTTTTACTTGTTATAAGTAATAATTTTTATTGATGCATATTTTGTTATAAATATCTTATTCTAATAAACTAAAATTGATTTTAAAAAGTTTTTATTTGCTAAAATAAATCTTTCAATTATTATTTTTTTTTCTTTTATTTTTTTAAAAAATAAAAAAATTGAATATCTTAAAACTACAAATTTATATTGAAATAACAGTTTGAATATAAATTAGCTTTGATTTTTTAAGACTAGGATTTTAATATCTGACTTTAAAAGGAAATAACATTATTATTTTTATAATTATATTTAAAGAATTAAAATTAGAAATTTAAAATATTAATATTATTCAATAATAGCTTAATAAATTTACTCTTTTGTGATAAAATAATTAATAAATAGTTAAATCATATAAGCAATATAATAGTTTTAATTTTAAGAATTTAAGAATTATATACAAGTTTATAAATAACTTATTAAAAAATATTCTGTAAAATAAAATAGTTTAATTTTAATATTATATTATTATTGTTTATAATTAGATTTATAAATACAAAAACTTACAGTTTGATTAAAAGCTAAATAAACAAATATATATATATATTAATTTTTTTTTATATATTGTTACAAAAAATGAATAAAATAATTTATAATTTGTAAAAATAATTTATAAATGAAAATTCTGTTGAATTCAAAAATTTTATTTTTATTTAATAAATAAATAATTTATTATTTCATTTTTTTTTTTTTATTCCACAATAAAGTTGGTATCGTTTATTTATTAAATCATAGAGAACCATTACATGCATAAGAATACATGCAAAATACAAATTTTTTCAACCCAACTCTCACATCTTTAGCCAAAGCCTCTAGATGCGATTTATGGGAATGATATATTGTTCTCCTAAAGGATAGGATTAAGATTCCAAACTTTCAATAGGATCAGTACCTGCAGATCATCTCCATAGTCACGACCATAAATTCAAATTGTAACACTTACCTTTTGTAGAAACTATACAAGAAGAAAAAAAAATAAAAAAGAAATTTTTTTTAACAAAAAGAAAAGAAAAAAAGCTATTGTCTATTCTAACTATCATTTAAAAGATTATCTTAGTGAACTTAAAACCTAAGCCCCTTATGGATTTCCATTTCTTATCACCTGTGGCTAGTTAAACTGTTTAATTTCCAATAGAATAGTCAATGTTCAAGAATGTTTAAGGATACTTTCAGAAGAATATTTCTTGAAATTTTATACTTGAAAACTTCCAACTAAAAAGAATATTGGTTTTCTATTGTTGATTTCTCTCCCAAGCCGTGTCTTTTGAAATTATAGTTTTATTTAACCAGTAGATAGTTTTAAGATCCTTTTCTTTAATCATTATCAGAATAGATATCGATATTTCAACTTGTTATTAGATTGGGATAGGATCTAGATCTTGTTGCTACTCTCTGTTTTCAAGAAATAATAGGAAAGAAAAAAAAATAAAAAGATAGGACAAAAAGAAATTGTTCTTCTTCTTTTTACAACTTTAACTTGAAACTGTCCAACTCTTTCAAAAACCAATTATATCATTGGTTTGGTGTTGTGTGACTGGGAACACTTTGAGGAGTATGTGTCTTGTTTACTTTTTCTTGACCAATCATCTTTCAGAAAATCCAGTATGATTAAAAAATTCAAGGTCAAACTGAGATAGACAAAATTCCTTAGAAAAATCAGAAAAAAAGGAAGCACGCTTGAAAAAAAAAGAAGTGGGAAGTCAAAGAGATAATGGA